GGGAAAGAGATAGTTTTAAATTTTCAAATATGTAATAGAAGTAAATAATGACCAGTGCAGGCATGTTCTGATGTTTTAACTGAGACTCAACCAAAGTAGTGAGCTAATTTTTCTGTGAAATATAAGGTAATCAAAGCTGAAGAGGAAGAACATCATGCCTATTTTTGTATAAATATAGATTTTGGCCTCCCAACTTTATTTTGTCAAATGAACAGCAAATATCGAGTCATTCTCATCTGTCACATTAATGGTAGGGTTACATAAATCATATGCACTCAACATGAATGTACCTTATTCATAGTTTATAATCAAAGACAGAAAATGTCAAATTAAAATTATGCTGATGTTGAAAATGAATTTCCTTATTTAATACTTGTAGAGTAAGTTTTTTTAACCTTGGCAATACTGACATTTTGAGCTGGATACTTGGTTGGAGGAGGGGCAGTCTTTTGACTTGTAATATTGTTTAACAGCATTCTTAGCCTTTATCCAGTAGATGACAGTAAAGAGACCCTCCCAACTCACACACACTGGGAACCATTGTTTCATTAGCATCAATTCAATTTCAGAGTATTTCACAGTACTATCTAAGTAAGCTATACTTTTACCTTCTTCGTCTTCTTCTCCCTCTTCCTCCTCTTCCTCCTCCTCCTCTTCACTACTTCCAGCATCTTGATCTGTGTTTGAATCACTATCTCCTTCATCAAGAATTTCTAAAAAAACCAAAGTAAATTTAGGAAAGTATCAACAAGGAAGTGATACCCATTGCAATTCCTTCTTCAAAGACAATTCTCAGAAATCTGTTTATCGAACAATACAGATAACAACAGAGGCCTCCTGTTATTGCTGAGGTGGTCAGAGAACATTATAACTAATTTGATTAGAAAGAGCCATGTGTCATTCTTCTGACAGACAGAAAGTGACCATGAAACAAGAGGGGGATGAAAAAGAAAAAGTAGATGAAAGTTTCCAAAAGAGCAAGAGCAGATTGGAGTCAAAATATTCCTAATTTATCATCAGAAAGAAAATAGTGTATTACAAAAAGCTAATTCTTGATATAGAAAACAAGAATTTAAGCTAAGAATGTTTAATGAAAGACAAAAAAAGAAGAAACTGTTGCATAATTTAGCATTCATTTTAATGAGATTTTTATTAAAATGTATACCTATTAAATAGAACATTACACTCAATCCAAAGACTTTCTATATATAAAACAAAAGCCAAAGTTTAAAAAGCATTTAGGAAAACTGGTAAGATGAGCACTTCATTGGATTATCACCTCTTAAAATACAGCTCACACTCAGAACTAGGTGAAAATAGTGACGCAAATAAGAGACTATATAAAACAAGTAACAAAAACTAAAATTATATTTTGTTCAATCACATGTGTGTTCTATTAGTCTGATGAAAGATTTTACAACCTAGCCAACATTTCATTTTCTCCATTTCTATTATGATCAAAGAATTTTTAATAAAATGTTTTGGGGCCAATTCATTTTTAGAAAATTTCTAATGTCTTTCTCTTTACTAAGCAGTCTACTAGTATATAACTCAGGAGCCACATACAATATTGAATATTAGTAGAGAACTTCATGCTATCAGGAATAAATCATTGTACAAGCAGGGAGACTTATCATTCAGACCTTAGCCAATATACAAATATCCTCAAGAATATTTCTAACAAATGTTAGAAATAAACTGAAGTGTCTAGTTTATTATTATATAATATGGTTTTAGACAGACTTTTAAAAAAAGGAAACTATTTAGTATTCAATAGAAGGAAGACAGGCACTCCTGCTGTTTTCCCAAATGCTGCAAGACCTAAAACACAAGTACACCTGAGTCACTCTAAGGTGCTAATTACTAAAGCTGTGCCCACTTCCTGCTGTGACCATTTTTTTATGCCAGCTCTAGAAGCATATTTTATGAAAGAATGAAGGTCAAATGAATTGTCTAGTCGTTTACATCATCCTCTTCTCATCTGTTCACTTTACAATCTACTTACTGAAAGCATTTAGGCAATGACAATTAGATTTCATTAACTGGATAAAGCAGTGGTTTCAAAGTATAGTCTGTAAGTCTCTGGGGTGGGGAGGTAGGGATGGAGGTGGGGAATCACTGATACCTGTCAGGTGGTCTGTGAGGTTAAAACTATTTTCATAGTATTGCTAAGACATCATCCACCTTTCACTATGCTGACATCTGTAATGATGGCCCAAAGCAACAGGGGTTAAAACTGGGGCAACCTGAGCACAAATCAAAGCATCAAACTGCACTAGCAGTGGTGTTCTTTGCTGTTGCCACACTCTTAAAGTAGGGGAAAGCCCATTTCTCTTAACAATGACCCCGACAAATTATTGATTTTATTAAATTCCAGCCCTTGGTAGGTCTTTATAATAATCAGAGTAACAAAAAATGAAGTTCATATATAGAACTGCTATTAATGGCAGACGTAAGATGATGGTTATATCAAGGAACAGCACTTATGCAATCATTTGAGTTTCAAGATGAATCAGCTTTTTCATTTTTACTTCAAAGAATGGCTCACAACCTATAGTTCTCCTCCTAGGAGCTTTCAGAGCAGTGAGTACTTTTCAGATAAAATCATAATTCAGGAAAATAAATCTATAAAGTTATCATAATATTATAATATTTAAGTGTGTAATATAATAATATAAACATAATTACATAACTAGCCCTGACTATTAGCATTAGGAAATAAATTATAGAAATGTGAAACAAAATAGTATTATTGTCTAAATACTAGTTCTGTGACAATACAAAGCACTGTATTTTATTTATCTTCACACAAACAGGGAACATTTACTCTTACATCAAATAAGTAACTTCTTCCAGGTCACTTAACTAGTAATGGCAGACAAAATACAAACCAAATTCTGTCCAAAGTATATGCTTACAATATATTAATGGTGTACAAATAATAATTATCTATTTATTGAGCACTGATATCTAGCACTGTGACTGATGTTATCAGAAGTCTATCAACTTGCTCTCAAGAAATAATAAAATAGAAGACTTGGAAACCAAGATGGTGGCATAACTAAACACTGGAAATTGCTGCCTCGCACAGCCATTTCAAAAATACAACTAAAAGGCAAAACGGACATCATCCAGAACCACAGGAAGGCTGGCTGAGTGGAAATTCTACAACTGGAAGGAAAGAGAAAAGCACACTGAGACTCAGAGAAGGTGCGGAAGTAAAGTGCAGAAGTATAGAGGTGCACGCACGCAAAGGGCTGGTGACTGAGGACGCAGAGCACGTGGAAAGGACTGGCTGGCAGCTGAGGACGCGGTGCACATGGAAAGGGTTGGCAGCTGAGGATGCGGCGCACGTGGAAAGGGCTGAAAACTGAGGACACAGTTGTCTTTTTCAATCTCCTGACTGCTCGGAACTCCAGTTCTGGGCGAGTCTCTGGGGACCCAGACTCATACAAGAGAAACTGGACTGTCTGGCATTGGTCGGAACTCAACGGCAGCTTTCACTCAGAGGTACTTGCAGCAATTGCCAGGACACTGAGAAGCAGGGCCTCTGAGGGCAGGACTGAGAGCAGCCATAACTGCTCGCTCCTCCCTATTGATCCCCTGGGACCCCCGC